GCTGTAAACAAAAGCCAGCATTGCAGCTGATGTTCCTGCATACGCCTGCAGGGCAATGTTTAACATGGCTTGAAATGCTAAACAATATATTTTGTGTGCATGCACGGGATGATCTTCTCGTGTGTTTACAGTCCCCTGTGTTTGTGTTGCAGATGGAGGGCCCCCAGGTGAAGAGGGCCTCATCCCCCTCCCCATGGAGCCCCCAAGAAGAGGACTGCTTTCATCGACATTACAAATGTGAGTCCTGGTTTGAGTTTTTGTGGAAGAGAGAAGCACTAAAATTCAGGGTATAAACTATTTAAACGTAGAAGATTGAGCAAGGATTCCAGGAGGGAGACCATTTGTATTCTCTCACTTAGTACATCACAATACTTAGTGATGATCTGTTTGGTGCATGAGTGAAATGGTCCTGTGGTCAATGTTCAGAGATAATGGCTTCGAGTAATGTGTGATTAAAATCAAAGGGCGCATTGCTATTTCTCCACAACATATGTCATATATCATCAGATCCCACACACACAGGAATACATATATGTGTCTGTCTTGTGTCTCTAAACGGGATGAACCACAAGCAACATGAAATAGATTTTGGCATTTAGTCACTGCTGACCTGGAAAGTACTTCAAATTAAAAGTATCAGATCAGTCAGCGTGGCCGAGCTCTTTACGACACATCCTCTATGTATATTCTGACACATATTTCCTCATAAACCTTCCAGCAGTGATTGTTTTTCTTTAAATATAAGCATGAGAACAACAGGGTCTGTTTCTTTAGCTGCTGTCTGTATGTAGAATGATCCTGGTTCAATTCTGGATGATCTCCCACTGTGCTATCCAAAGAAAGGCTATCAGTCAGTGTCTGGTCTGATTGTTGGCCCTACGTGACCCAATATTTGAAGTCTAGTTTTTTAGTCCTCTAAACTTGTACCCCCTCCAGCAACCTGACTGAAAACCCTTGGGCTAATTGCACATTTAGGGAGAATAATCTCTACTGTTACATTTGGAATTTACACCTAGTATTGTATTTGTACGTTTTCTGAAAGTGTCTCTGCTGGCCACTGTACATGTGTCGGCAAGTTTCAAAATAAGTCACCTATTGCTTCAGTTATCACACCTCAACAGGATGTGTACACTTATAACGTGTGTGTGTGTGTGTGTGTGTGTGTGTGTGTGTGTGTGTGTGTGTGTGTGTGTGTGTGGTTTGTGTGTGTGTGTGTGGTGTGTGTTGTGTGTGTGTGTGTGTGTGTGTGTGTGTGGTGTGTGTTGTGTGTGTGTGGTGTGTGTGTAGTGTGTGTGTGTGTGTGTTGTGTGTGTGTGGTGTGTGTGTGTGTGTGTGTGTGTGTGTTTTGTGTGTGTGTTAACGTGTTCTCTGTGTGTTGTTAGTGTGATGTGTGTGTGTGTGTGTGTGGTGTGTGTGTGTGTGTGTGTGTGTGTGTGTTGGTGTGTGTGTGTGGCTGTGTGATGTGTGTGTGTGTGTGTGTCTGTGTGTGTTGTGTGGTGTGTGTGTATGGTTGTGATGTTACTGTGTGTGTGAGTGTGTAGTGTGTGTGTGTGTCGTGTGTGGCCTGAAGTGTGTTTGGGCCTGTGCTTTGGGGCCATGGAAGTTGTCTCGACGAGTGGCCAGTCACTTGACACACGATCCCTAACATATTTTCAAGATGTTCGGACATCACCATGTCATCCCTTCTTGAGGCAAGTGATGTTAAAAAAGGTCCCCTATTATACTGTGATTTCATCAATATAGTATAGGGCCTCAGAGATATACAGAAAGATGGTCTCTGATTGGCCGCTCAAACACCAAACAGATCATTGCGGAAAGCATCCCATAATCCCCCTCTGTTTCAGCCCTGTTTCCAAAGTGCTGATTCTTCTGTCTGTTACTTTAGATGAAAAATAAGGAGTCCCCTCCCCACGCCCCTCTGAGAAGAAGATTTGGTGTAAACAGAACTCAATGGTGCTGCCTAGGAGGAGATTCAGGGTGAGTAAGGGGGGGGGGGGGTTATCCTTGGTTTGGTGATTGGCTTAATGGTTACCAAGCCACAACATCGTTATGACATCACAAAGTGGCTAAAAATCTGATCAGCTCATTTTCAGACAGGTTTTTTATAGAAATGGATCAGGACAAAAAGAGAGAATCTTTTGTTCCTGAAACTTTCAGAGTCTCTTTCCACAGAGGGGACACATGTTGATGAAGAGGAGACATGAAGAAGAGGGGACACATGTTGATGTAGAAGAGACATGAAGAAGAGGGGACACATGTTGATGTAGAAGAGGGGACACATGTTGATGTAGAAGAGACATGGAGAAGAGGGGACACATGTTGATGTAGAAGAGACATGAAGAAGAGGGGACACATGGTGATGTAGAAGAGACATGAAGAAGAGGGGACACATGGTGATGTAGAAGAGACATGAAGAAGAGGGGACACATGGTGATGTAGAAGAGACATGAAGAAGAGGGGACACATGGTGATGTAGAAGAGACATGAAGAAGAGGGGACACATGTTGATGTAGAAGAGACATGGAGAAGAAAGGGGACACATGGTGAGTTAGAAGAGACATGAAGAAGAGGGGACACATGTTGATGTAGAAGTAGGACATGAAGAAGAGGGGACACATGTTGATGAAGAAGAGACATGAAGAAGAGGGGACACATGTTGAATGTAGAGTGACATGAAGAAGAAGGGGACACATGTTGATGTAGAAGAGACATGAAGAAGAGGGGACACATGGTGATGTAGAAGAGAGCATGAAGAAGAGGGGACACATGTTGATGTAGAAGTGACATGAAGAAGAGGGGACACATGTTGATGAAGAAGAGACATGAAGAAGAGGGGACACATGTTGATGTAGAAGAGACATGAAGAAGAGGGGACACATGTTGATGTAGAAGAGACATGAAGAAGAGGGGACACATGTTGATGTAGAAGAGACATGAAGAAGAGGGGACACATGTTGATGTAGAAGAGACATGAAGAAGAGGGGACACATGTTGATGTAGAAGAGACATGGAGAAGAGGGGACACATGTTGATGTAGAAGAGACATGAAGAAGAGGGGACACATGTTGATGTAGAAGAGACATGAACAAGTGAATTTTGCATAATCGGTGACCTTTTAAATATCTAATGTCTCTTTGACATGTGTTCACAGGCTCATAAGGTTACGATCAGCCTTCCAGGGAGAGAGAAGAAGAAGCAGGCGAAGAAAACAAGCGCTACTTCAGTGTCGACGGAGAACCATGCAAACCTGGAAAAGTCTTCATCTGTGAGCTCAGAGGGGACGCCGACTGTGACGGAAGAACAGACTTATAAGGACGAGGAGCAGGAGGCAGCAGCTCCAGTAGAAGAGCTGGAGGCTGCTGCGCCCCCTGCTGCCCCGGAGGTGCCGGCACACCTCCTGAAACAACAGGTGAGGGAACCCGGAGAAGCTTTGGACTTGTACTAATGTCTGTCATAGGTCAACTAACTCAAATGTTCTCTGATCTCTAGATCCCAGCGGAGTTTGACATCGACTCTGAGAACTCTGAAGACTGTTACATGTGTCCCGAGTACGCGAAGGACATCTTTGACTACCTCAAACAGAGAGAGGTGAGACAAAGTATTAGTATTTGAAGTAGCTTTTACACCAGTGTGGGTTCTGGAAAGCCTGAATGCAGAAGGTCATCTTCCCCCTCTTGTGTTTTTATGGTCTGCAGGAGAAGTTTGTCCTCACTAACTACATGCCCAGTCAGCCCAGCCTCAACCCAGAGATGAGAGCCATCCTGATCGACTGGCTGGTGGAAGTACAGGTGAGTTTTCCTGCTAGAGTCCATTGGCAGGAATAAGTGATTATATTTTAAAGGGGACCTATCATGCAAAATGCACTTTTGTACGTCTTTTCTACATGAATCTGTGTCCCCGGTGTTCCAGGGAAACTCGCCAAGTGTCAGAAAACACAACCCTCTCTATTTTCCTCCATACCCAAATCTCTAAAAAAAGGGGGCTGCAACGGATCTGATAAAAACTGATCCAGATTTGAACACTGTCCTGACGTCAGGACGGTGGCGCTACGGCTATTGGGCCAACTCCACCAATCAGGAGGAGACAGCCACGGCCATTGCCGTTCGAAAGCGCTGGAGACGCTGTAGTACATATGCCAGGCCTGTAGGTGGTGCTGTTCTCACTGAATCAGCCCTTGCTAAAACAGCTAAAAATGTCAAATTGAGCGAAATGAGGCATGGCTAAAATGCATGATCTGTTTGGTATTTTGAAAAAAAAAAGTATAAATATGCCTTATATAGGTATGGTCCTACACTATATTATTCAAATATAGCATGATAGGTCCACTTTAAATGGTAAGTGAGTCAGAGAATCCATTTGAAAAATCGAAGTAAAACCAATCTCGAGGGTTCAAATAAACAGCAATTGTAAGCGTGTAATTATAAAAATCATTCCCTGCTCCGCTGGATGACAGAAACTAAATGACATCAAAACAAAGTGTGTGTGTGTGTAGCTTTATCTCACGCATGCTGCTTCTCCAGTTTCATTTCGTGTGGTGTGTGCATTAGTTAACCTGACTGTGTGTGTGTGTGTGTGTGCAGGAGAACTTTGAGCTGTACCATGAGACTCTGTACCTGGCTGTGAAGATGGCGGACCACTACCTCTCAAATACCCCCGTCCACAGGGAGCTGCTGCAGCTGGTCGGCTCCACCACCATGCTCATCGCCTCCAAGTTTGAGGTAAGAATACAATACAGATACAAATAATACTTTAAGCACACGGGTCCAGGTCAGTTCACCGAATAACAACCAACAGGTGTTTGTATAAAAGGTGTCTTCACTATAAAATATGCATTCAATTCGAAATATAGGACTTTCCTAAGTTTCCTTTTTTTGTGTGTAACCTTTTAAATATATGTTCTACTATCATTTATCACAGTGGATATCAAGTATTTACAACAAACGTAAGTAATAGACACATAAATATATAAAAAACACTTTATGAAGCATGGCCAGTGGGTTTTATTTGATGCTCACGGGTAAAGTAAAAGTGGAATCAAAGAAGTCGAGAAAGTCGAACAGACCATGCTTGCAGACTTTACCACAGGACTTTAAATATCCCAAAGACAAAGAAGGAGGGAGTTTGCACGTGTTAAATGTTTTTATTTTGACCGTCCTGCAGGAGCGCAGTCCGCCGTGTGTCGACGACTTCCTCTACATTTGCGATGACGCGTACAAGAGGGAGGAGCTTATCGCCACGGAGGCCAAGATCCTGCAGGCGCTCTCCTTCGACATCAACATCCCCATCCCATACCGCTTCCTCAGACGCTATGCCAAGGTGTGTGTGTGTGTGTGAGGTTTCTGTCTCTTCCATCACCTTGCAGACACCTGACTGCACTTCCTCAAAAGCCATAGATGCATTACATTGATGCACACACACTGTTACAATATCTATTATTCAATTCTATCTAACTGAGTGTGTGTGGAGGTCTCCCTTCACTAACCTGAGTGTGTGTGTGTGTTCTCTGCAGTGTGTTGAGGTCTCCCTTCACTAACTGAGTGTGTGTGTTCTCTCTCTGCAGTGTGTTGAGGTCTCCCTTCACTAACCTGAGTGTGTGTGTTCTCTCTCTGCAGTGTGTGTGAGGTCTCCCTTCACTAACTGAGTGTATGTCTGTGTGTGTTCTCTCTCTGCAGTGTGTTGAGGTCTCCCTTCACTAACTGGGTGTGTGTGTGTTCTCTCTCTGCAGTGTGTGAGCGCGGAGATGGACACGCTGACCCTGGCGCGGTTCTTCTGTGAGATGAGTCTGATGGAGATGGATCTGGTGGAGGAGCGCGGCTCGCTGCTCGCCTCCGCCTGCCTGCTGCTGGCGCTCATCTCCAAGGACCTGGGAGGATGGGTAGGTTTCATTCAAACACTTTCAATGACATATTTCTTCTAATCTTTTCACTTCATCTGTTTGCCCCTCTTCAAACACGTGTTTATATCAGAATCAGAAACACTTTTTTATTCGTCCCACAGAGAGGAAAGGTCAAAGACAGATTCATGTGAACTAAGAAGCATGCATAACAAATATTAAAGATACAACAAGTGTTATTTCAAAATACACATACTGCAGCTCTGTTCTGTTCATGGACTTTTAACTCTCTGCTGGATTGTTTATTGATTTAGGGTCAACTTGGTTACAGATTTATAATTGGGAATTTTTAGTTTTTCATGTCAAAATAAGCATTACGGAAAAATCTGAAAATTAAAATGGCTTCGTAAATTAGTTACGTAGTTACGTCGGTATGGTAAGGGCACAAAAGGATCTTTTACTTAATGATTTAGTTCCTGTTCATTTATTATCTAAGGCATTTTATTTGCTCAAACTGAATACTTCCTGATGCCGTTAAAAAGTTAACGTGCAACTTTTTCACTGCCTATTTTTCCCGCTCTGCAGAGAACAACCCTCTGTTCAATTTAAATGCAAATAGTTGTCCATGTAAATGTGAGTTAACCAGGGTTCTTCTTACGGTCATTAAAAACCTGGAAAAGTCATGGAAATTCAAAATGCTAATTCCAGGCCCTGGAAAAGTCATGGAAATGTAACCAAAGTTGCATCAAATATAATTTATATTTTATCTAATCGCAGAAATAGTGATACTATAACGATAATAAATACTGTATGGTATAGTAATGAAACGTAAAATGGCATTTAACTGTCGAGGTGTTTTGCTGGTGAGAGATTTGAGTTGCTTTAGCGTGTAGGAGCTAGTAAGCCTATTTGATTTGTTTTAGATAGGCACAACATGTTTCATATGCAGACCTTATTTTCCTGTTCCATGTTAAAATAAACCATTTTCAGTGGTACCGCTGAGAAGAGTAATTTTTTTGGTCATGAAAATTAGGTAAGTCATTGAAAATCATTGGTGAAAAAGTGTATGAACCCTGGTTATCGTTGCAGCGGGGGACCAGATCATTTCATTTCGTTCCCGCGCCGCCTCCAGATTTAGAATCGGCTCTAATGAAGGAAACATGTTGAAGAACTGCAGATATGTTTGTAGTAGGGCTGTGCGATTATGGCAAAAATCATAATCACGATTATTTTTGGTCAATAATTGATATCACGATTATTAAATATGATTATTCATTGACTTCCATTTATTGAACTTTAAAACAAATAAAAAATAATTTGAACAGTATCTTTTTAACTGTTGATTACCCTGAACGTATAATTCAACTGAAAAACCAATACAAAAATAAATGAAATATTTACATTTAAATAAATAATGTAAAAATAATAAATACCAATAAACAAGATCAACAAATATTTTGGAGCGCACTTCAACAAGCTAATAAACATATATAAATGTGATAAATAAAAAATAAATTAGAAATTAATAATTTTCGATTATGTTGTTTCCGTAATTGTGGCAGGCCAAAATCGTAATTGCGATTAAAATACGATTAATTGCACAGCCCTAGTTTGTAGCTTTTAATAATCCAAAATGGCTACCTACTGACGTGTCTGTCGTCTCTGCAGTGTCCCATCCTGCAGTTCCACTCCGGGTATCAGACGTCAGATTTGGCGCCCGTCGTCAGGAAACTTTACGAGATGCTCTTAGCTCCAGCGGACGACAAACTGAGAGCCATCAGGAACAAATACTCACACAAGTACGTTCAAAGAAAGCAGCACATGAAGTGTACTAAAGTGATGGTGTGCTTTAAATCTGAAATTACTCCGATCATTAATCCATTCGTTCTTTTTCTCAGGGTGTTTTTCGAAGTTGCATCCTTACCTTTGGTCAACGCCGACATCCTGGAGAAAGCTTTATCTCAGTGAGACGTCGCCTACTACCAAAAATAAAATCTTGCCACTGAGTGAAAGTATTTTAACAAAAAAGTTCCCTCCAACCCTGTACATATTTGTTAATATGTTGAATATTTATACGTGTCGTCTAGCCTGTCTTTTATATTCTATTTTAAATAAATTCCAGTTGACATTTAGTCCTCCTGTGGGCATTTGTTAAGAAGTGTTGCCAGATGTTAAGGTTGTTAATAATGGCATTTTAAGCGCTGCATTCCAGTCGTTTTAGCATTCATTTTATAAGAAGTTTTAAGATAATGGTAGGTTTGAGAGAATTCGAAACCTGCCTGCGTGTTTTCACAAGTGTTCCTACGTTGTTATAGTTGACAGGTATGTGTATTTCCATCTGTTTGTACAGTGTTTATCATGTTTATATCACTATGCTAATTATTATTTGTATAAAAGATGACCGGATGATGCTGTGCTATTTTTAAATGGCTGTCAATTCGCACTCTTAAAATAAAGACATTGCTTTTTTATCTGTTTGATAAAACGGCTGGATTTTCTTATTCAATTAAATCATTTCTTGTCTTGATGTTAGAGTGTCTTGGCTGTGATACTGGTCTGTGGCCACCAGAGGTCAATAATGCACCGTGTTTCCTCACTGTGATTCATCTCCAAATTCACACTTGAAATATTTATACCATCGGATCAGTATCTCTCTTGTTATTCTACTGAAGCCGTGTTGGACTTTTGTTCATACTGTTACCTGATCCCCCTGCTGTCCTGAAGCTTCATTCTTGACCTTTTAAAAACATAGAATAGTCTTAAAGCTCCCATGTCATGCTTTTCCGGTTATTACCCGTCCCCTTGTGTGTTATGAAGGTTTTTCTGCATGTAAACGGTCTGCAGAGTCAGAAACCCTCAAAGTACACCCTGTAGCGAGTAAAACTCTAACACAGAAAAGACCTGTCTGTGCTGCCCCAGAACGCCTCGTTGGACATTTCTCATTTTCCATTGTTTGCTTCCTGGGTTCTGTGACGTGTGAACACCCAAATCAACAACAAATCACCGGATTGGCCCAAATGGACCAATCCGCGGAGCACCTCACACACCAGGATCCCTTGGCTAACTAACAGGGAGTCCCATTGACTTGCATAGAGCTCCCTGGTTGGTAATGGACGAGTTGGGATCGTGGAGAAATGCTCTCTGCAGACCCATTCTCACAGCGTTATAAACCTTTTTCTTACTCAATATCAAGCCACACTTATTGTTTTCACTTCGGCTGTGAGTGTGTGTGTGTGCTCAGGATGAGTTTAGTTTGTTCTCGCTGCATCGCCGACCCGGAAACCTGTCCGCTCCTCGCAGCAGCAACGAGCCTCGCAACGTCCCGACCAATCAGAGCACACTGGGCTCACAGGGAGGGGGGGGGGGCAGGAGCTCCAACAAGCCGTTTAGGACAGAGAGTGAATACACATACTATACAGAGATGCTGTGTGAGAAACCAATGTGAGTTTGGAACATTGAACAATGTAAATCTATTCTAGTAGACCTCAACAATGGAAATATGATCAGCAGAAATGGCCATGACATGGGACCTTTAACTCAAACACCACCATAATCTAAGTTGACCTTGAGTTAAGGACTGTAGGTTAAGATTAAATGTAGAATGAATAAGAACTTGATCAGAAACGACATGCTTAATCCTTGTTGTGGATCTCAAATAGTTTGTTGACTATCGACTTATTGATGTCACTTTTTATGTCTTATCAGGGGTTTCCAACGTTTTAAAAGTGCCTTCTCACAGGAGGCTCAACAAATGGAATTGAAATATTACTATTTTTATTACATATTAAATATTCTAATCACATAAAAATTGCCTAAATGTGTTTAATTGGTTAAGGTGAAACTCCAGAGATACAAAGGTTTAGGATAATTTTACTTTTTTGCCACTTAGTGCAAGTTAGAAACAAATACATGCCTTAGGTCAGACTCTTATTAAATGTATTTTGTGCAATCTGAGCTAAGGTTGAATGGCAATATTGACTAGGCATCCATGACTTGTTAAAAATTAGCAGGTAAACTAAGGTCTGTGTTAAATATGTGCCTGAGGTACTTTCACAGAATTAAAAGGGACATTTGTTTTGAGGCAAGACAGACCAAACAAGAGTGAGAAGACATGCGTTTATATTGCTATTATTTGCTGCTACTCAGTTTATTTAGCTTAAAGCCAAACTTTGATCTACTCCTACTGGAAGTCAAACTTTCTCTCGAGGCTTTCCCTCTAAAATCCTCAGACGTGGCTAACTCCTCTTCACAGATTTTTTCAGATCAATAAGTTGACCAGATGACAGCTCTGATTCCTGAATCCTCCTGCTGCCTGTCCACAGAAACCGTCTGAGAGTCAGGGAGAGATGGGGACATTGATTTTGTGTCATCAGATTAAACTGCGACACATTGCTTAAAGTTTCACTTTTACCAGCACAAAGTATACCTCGGAGAGCAGACATTCCCTTACATTTACTGACATCCACTTGTTTTCTCCGAGGTGGTGTCGACTCAAATTTCCCCCCAACCTGCCACCTCCTATATTTCCCAGAACAACTTTCAACAGTGAATTCGACACTTAAATGGTTTTGCATTCAGCTAAGAATTGTACGTCTATGTGGCCACGATGGAGAAACTTTACCTGATGAAAAACATCCTGACATTGCATTGCATTACACTTCTCTGCACACCGCTCTGAATCTGCATCAGGGCTTTTTCTTACTTTCTAACTGTTAAAGTAGCAAGACTTGCTTTTAAATTAATAACTGTTTCCAACTGTTTTTCTTCGGGAAGTGCTTGTTAATTAAGCTAAGAATTTAAATACAATAACATTTGGGCCCATCTGGTTTTTTTCCTAGCCATTTTGAAGGGTTTTAGGTCATTTTTACTTTCACGAAATGTCTCCTTTAACACTGAAGAAATTCAGGTTTACTTATTTACCTGCACAGATGTTCAGCAAACTAGCGAACATCTGGACCATGTCTAAAAAAATGTGCGTATTATTATAGCGTGAATCCCCAGAAACATGGATGAGATGTATATAAAAAACTATGAATAGGTGGAAGGAGAAAATATATAGTGACCCTGACTCTTAGAATATGAGCTGCCCACGACAAAGACTCACTGTTGTTAGTATGCACACACACACACACACACACACACACACACACACACACACACACACACACACACACACACACACACACACAGACACACAGATGGATCCATGCCAAATCAATTCACTGGCCATCATCTCGCACAAACACCCCTCTACTGCATCTGCGCCTGGAGACTTCTGAGCCCATTCTTGCTCTGTTATTCACTCGGTCAATTAAAGTGATTGATTGGCTGCAGTGTGTGTGTGTGTGTGTGTGTGTGTGAGTTCCTCAGTTCATTCAGAACTACAGATCCTAATAACTCAGTCTGATTAAAGTGTGCTGGTGGAGATAGTGCCCATTCAGTCCAGGCAGATACGCATCAGAACTGCAGTTGCAATGCTACGTATGAACTATTGATCAGCGGCATGCTGGGAAACAGCTTTTCACTTCACTCTGTGAGCTTCAGTTCTCACTTCTGAGGTGCAGCTGCTGCCCAAGATGTCTGAACTCAGAATAAAGAGTTTGTTTGGGGGATTTTCCATTTTTTCTAATTAAGTCACAGTCACATGAAGGCTTGAAAGTCTTTCCAAGTCCCTGCAATGCACTTTTGAAGCACTTACTTGTGCCTGTTTAGTTCAAATGAGCTCAGATGCTACTATTATGGTTCAGACTTCATGCAGAGTCACGAGTGTGTGGCTGGCTCCACAATAACATGAAACGTGTCCAATTTGTTCTGAGATTCACATTATGTTTTGCCCACTTATGAGTCTTTCTGTTGAAGTAAGCAATCAGAAAAGTGGATTTACACATCAGCAGTCATACTGAAGTTGGCTCACTCATTTAGAGTGAGAAATATTTCTTAGTTACTTGCAGCAATGGAGATCAAGGGTGGAAGTAAGGACTGTAACTCAAATTAAATAATTGTACTTGAACTTAAGTTTACTTTCTAATAGGCTGTTGTTCTTCAATACCTTTGAGGTTGTGAAGTAAATGTATTTGTCATATTATAACACGGCTGTGGCCCCTTCCTGTTACACAAACATAACATACTCTTTATAGAAGATACAAACAATACAAAAATTGAATAAAAATAAAAACAGAATAAAATAATATTTAAAATAGTTGTAATATTAAAATGAGAATTAACTAGCATAAAATGAGAGGATGCATCCATACGAATACAAATAAAAGCCATGATTAAATGTGAGAAAGGAGATAATTAGCAGCTGCGTCAGAGCAGAAGCTGCAGGTGTGTCCTGCTGCTGCAGTCTCTATGCCAGGGGTGGGGAACCTTTTTCCTCTCAAGGGCCATTTCATTTTTTTCAACATCCTCCGAGGGCCGTACGGTACAAATGATTGACCTCTGCTTAAAAATACTAAAATCACAGCCCATTCATTTCGCCTTTCTTTCATGCTGTGCAAAGAAAAAGCAACCTCTTAATCCAGATATCTTACCATGACTCGCGCATGCATGCACGTGCACGGTTGTGGCATGACCACCAAAACAGAAAGATATGGACACAAGATGTGTGCAAATGTATTTAGTTTCCTATCCATGTGGACATTATTTAAGTGGGGGGGGGACCTAACCTCCTCTAGGGGGGAAGATTTTTTTTTAAATGTTGAAGTTAAAAGCATCAATCTGGTGCACTTTGAGAGCAACATGAAGAGATCTATGGATACATCTCTCAACATCCATATGAAACAGAACTGTAAGCAGATTTCTTTTTCTTTACGGATATCGTACAAATCACTCCCCTTTCAAACTGTATTCTAACAACTTTTGTTTACTGTCATATAGTATTTTATACCTGTTTACTTTATTCTCTTATTTTTTTATAACTATAATGATCATATAAAGATGTGCCTTTGCCTCACTGGTTGTAGAAAAAGCTTCTTATATTCGTTAGCATAGCTAGCTAACCAGATGCTAATAACAACAAAGTTATTGACTGTATGATCAGTATGTCAGATGAACAGATCGCCACTGGGCTTTCAACTAAAGACAGAGCCACGCAAAAACTGCGGCATGTGTACGGCTCCTTATGGGTACTGCCATTTCTGAAGTGCCGGAGCGACGTTCTGGTGCTCTCCGTCAGAACTGCACCCCTGTCAGACCAGACATATACCACGTGATGACACGTTAGGCTCGTGTTGTGTTCAAGGACCCTGACTTGGCCAGGAAAAACAGGCACTCGCTTGTTTTTTTTTTTGCGGTCTAGATTTCTTAATTTTTTTTCTTTTTTGCGTGTGTTTATAAATATTCGAGGGCCGTACCAAATGGTCTCGCGGGCCGTATACGGCGAGACCACCCCTGCTCTATGCTAATGGATAATGGCTACTTATGGTCATGGATAGCAATATCATACCCAGTCTTAGTAAAAAAATCATAAAAAGTTAGCATTAAGCATATTTAAGCAGCA